AGAGAAAGTCGATATTCAAAATCACGTCAAGAGCAGCCAACAAACCATCCAACCAGATAATAACATTATACTAAAAAAAAACAGTTAATGTTATGACTAGGCAATAACCGCCCCCACTAGGTGTTTTATTGAAGAAAAATTCCTCCCACAGAAACATGGTTTTTGAATGGAACACATGATTTTGTTTTCAGCCTATAAATTATTTGTACGACGTTTCGCATTATGTCTGGTCTGGAGTCATTGCGCGCATTTGAAATGCAACTGTCCCATATGAACCGGTAAATCGAGACGAGACTAGCCGATATGCACTTTGACCTGCTAATTGATGCAGGTCACTTAGACATGTAGAAGATCATCTTGGCGCGAATTAAATATTTTCATTTGCTTTTTTTCACCACCTAGATACGTACACTCCATGATTCGGCGTAGCAATTATCAATTCAACGCTTGGGCCTCGAGATTGAAATAATTAATAAATGTTGAAATAACTAATACATAAACAATACAATACCATCATTTTCCAGTATGTTATATCGATTAATTATTGAACTTCTTAATATTAGCAAAATTAGCCACACTAGAATAAGGATTACATTCTTGACCTAAGTGTGTTTTGATTCTTTCACACATTGATCCTCTTTTCATTCTATTTTGATCTTTGGATCACGCCTGTCTATTCTGTCTTCGGTCTATTTGTTTTTGTTTACTTTGTACCCGCTTCTCCGTTTCATTTTCTTCTCTATTACCACATTTAATTGGTTAACCATATTAGTACATTATTAAAAACAGCTGACGTATTTATTGCTCATAATATAATTCCATAAAAAATAACCAAAGTCATGCGATCAAAACTAATTATAATCTTATCACGTTTGGAGCAAGACAATAACAATCACTTTGTTGCTATTATTACGTGACTTGTTGATTTATGGGATGTAATATCACACAATATTCACAGATGTCAAACCTCAATCAATTGTCCCCTGGGTTGTAATACATGTGCTCGATATCAACACCATTTGTGCTTCCAGTATTAGTTTGCCATGAACTGTCTGTTCTCGGTCATAATATGTTCATTTCCTTCACTATCTTATCACTTTAAATATGGCATGTATTTTGTAGTTTATGACTCTATATTCAAATTCGTATATTTGAAATTGCTTTCACTTGGTTACAGACTCTGTAGAGGCTTCTTGATTACTGGTATGTACGCTTACATACGTAGGCACTTTGCCTCTTTCTTGGGCACCTACTAGAAAAAATTCAGTCGGTGTAAACCGTTTTTGCCCTAAACAGCAATTTCATACTGATCAGTCAGTTATCCCTAGGCTGGGGGAAGGTGCACCTAAGAAAATGTAGCATAGTTCATCACAGTCTGCAATATTAAATTGATAATATATTGTTTATTGAATCCGTATCTTTAGTCACATATCTCTCACTTTTGTATGTCCTTGTATTCTGTTCCCTGTTTCCTTGGGAATATGACTCGTATCGACTCTCAGATAAGCAACATCTACATATTGTGCTCTTTCATGTGTTGTTTTCACAGCACCATAACTCCTGATTTTCCATGTCATTATGACGATTCCCTAATATAGAACAGTTGTTGTGGTATTGGTCATCATATTCAAATAAGTTAATTCGTATAAGGTCAAAGTCATTTTGTTTTTCCGCTAAGAAAATATCTCTACCCTCTTCAAATTTTGAAAATACTTGTTGCGATTTGTTTCACACTTGCCAGTCAGTTGACGACAGATGTAATCTGCATTGAAAAGGAAGCGTTAAATACAATGATCTGAAGGGCATCTAGATGGAAGTGAACATTTGGTTTGCCAAAGTGGGGCCTAAGGACAACAAGAGCATGTTTTCTGATATAATTATTTTCGACAGTTACAGTGATACCCAGAATATATTAAAATATAAATAGCATGGAATGAGTAGAATCCAATGGTTGATTAAGTTTTTGTTGGCAAGATGTTTACAGATTTGATAGCCCTAAAGGTATGACATTTTGTGAACACAACGTTTATTTGTGGTTTAAAAATCTCATTCATACTTTCTCGGTGACATTTAATTGGTCAATCATTCAATATGCTACCTGCTCAATCTGGAATAGTTTTCCTTTTCTAACTTTCAGAATTTTCAGACAATTTGATACATTGTTCGACACTCTTGTAATATAAGAAGACACACAAACCTAGATAATTTGTATAATTGTATCTGTTACTGTAACTCCATAGTTATTTTGCGGTATTGCACTGAGTATTTTCATCCAACCATATTAGAAAATGCGAGCGTCATCTAATAATGAAAACAAACATGGCAGCCCCAAGGGTTTGACCAGACTCCATACAAAGAAGTTCGCCAAATCTGTTCTAAACTTTTTGAATTTCGGCATTCGCATGACGTATCCTTGAGAGGAAAAAAATGTATAATTGTCACAGTGTAAGGCCTGTTTATTGCAATTTAGAGGGCCGCCCACAGAACTCACACTAGACAGGGGGTTCTGTCACTGCTAGAATGGCTAGACAAGACAATAGTACTGGACATAAAATACACATACACCAAAAGCTCTAGTTAAAGCTCTTGGCATTAAAATAATTACAAGAAACAAAGCACAGAAAAAAACACTGAATACATTCACTAAAATAGGGGATTGCCTAGGGAGGTGTGCATTGGTGATAACTAACAGTTCCAGTATGTGGAAATTGAATGTGGACATTCAATGGCTTTTTCAACACAACAACAAAGAAATACAGAAGTCTTTTCTTGCATAGAAACGCTGTTATTCTGGAGGGCACTGCTGAGAGCAGAAGATTGCGGAGCAATTTAAAATAATATTAAAATGGCATTAAAATAAATACAAGAAACAAAGCACAGAAAAAAACACTGAATGAATTCACTATAATAGGGGATTGCCTGGGGAAGTGTGCATTGGTGATAACTCACAGTTCCAGAATGTGGAAATTGGATGTGGACATTCAATGGCTTCTTCAACACAACAACAAAGAAATACAGAAGTCTTTGCTTGCAGAGGAACGCTGTTATTCTGGAGGGCACTGCTGAGAGTAGGAGATTGCAGAGCAGTTCATACAAGTCCCATAGAATGATGATTGAAGCAATTGGTTAGGCGAGTAGATCATAAACATCTTGTTTTGTAACAGCACACCTGGTGGATTCCAATTGTCCTTTCGAAGTTATAAACATCCTTTGTTATGTAAATATGAATCACACCTGGTAGATTCAAATTGTCCTTCAAGAATGGTAAATAAGTATGACCTGTCAATTTATGACAGTTATCACACGCCAATGCACACCGTTTCTTCCCATGATTCCATGCACACTTCTATTTATAGAGTTAATATGAAGTAATATGACAAAAACATAGAGTAAAGGATGCTGGCAATTATAATAATGTTATTACGAGGATATTACAAAGTATGCACCCAGGCAGTAAGCTGTCGCATCGACCTCCGCTCTGCGTCAGTCGATACTCCCGTTGTACTGTCTTCATGCAAACTTTTTCGGTATCCTTGTAATATTATTATATTTGATTCTTCAGTTCTAAAAAACAAGTTTTGAAAATAAAATTGTTTACGATCATTTTGAAAATGAAAATTAGGTGCATCTCTCTCAATGTTGTGGTCTCCCACTAACAACCTGGCGACTTCCACACAACTATTTTTGTGAGTACTTACAAGGATGTAAAGTTGTTTCAAAATATCATTGTGTTTGTGTTCTTAATACAATCATACTAAGTGAAATAGACAAAGTTGTAGCTCAGTATACCACTACTACGTTGGATTCATAATACAATGTAATTCAGGGTCAGCTGTTTGAGGGTGTCAAAATTGTATGGATTTCATATGCAGATTCGCATTTGCATTCTATCAAATATTGTGATTTTTGTTGTTTGGTGTTTAATAATGCTTGGTGAAGTGATAATAAATATTTACTTTGATGAAGGACGTCAATGTATTAGTAACACGTCTTATAAAATGAAATGAAGAGAATTATTTGCAATATATGGGCGGAAGTGAACCTCAAGCAATATTCAGATAGGTACAACTGTTCATCAATAAAAGTTCCAATTTCTTATATTGCCTAGTCAATATATAACGTGACCCTTTTCCCCATGATGTAGTGTAATATAATAACAATATTCTCGCAAAAGAAAATTCAATGAAACAAAATGGCGTTTACATTACTCCATCATGTAACCTTCTCATCAACCAGTGTATTTTCACAAATTAACAAGCCTTTTCTTACATTGCTGGGATAAGTAAAATAACACGAACCATTTAAACCCTCACCAGGACGCTTATACATTCCGTTACTTGATATTAATTCCAGTAGCCAAATTGGTATTCATTTGTATAATATTGTTGTTCAAAATATTATTTTTAGTTATTTTAGTACAGAAATCCAGGTTCTAATTCTGTTTTCTATTTTACTATTTGGATCACGACACCCTATTGTTACAAGCTTGAACCCATCTATCACTTTACATCTATCCAATATTCTATTTTGTCTTATTTTCAACATATTGTAGAAGCTCTATTTATCTTCTAAATTATGTTTTTGTAGTACGTTACCAGAATATTTTATGAAAAACCGCTGGTATCACGAACTTATTGCAAGCACTTTTATTGATAATTATAGACTCCAGAAATAGTGTGATTTATTAGCAGACATCTGGTAAGCTTCAAATTGCAAACCGGAAAAAAAGAGACGAGAGAATAACAAATCACATTTGGAAAATAAGGAAGAAATATTATTTCAACTTGGAAAAACGACTATTCAAACAACAATTGCATAACATTTTCTTAAGAAAAATGCGTTTACGCTTTTAGATAGGGTCTAATTGCTGATATATTGAAATAGTCTAAGTTTGGGCTGTCATTGCGACCCCTTAGCTCCTTGGTTATTTATCAACATTGCATTTAAATACAGCCCCACATACATGCTATCATTACAGATTGCGCTACCACAGTCTTCGAATCCACATCGTAGTAAAAATGGTCGGTATTTGGTTTCTCCTCGCAGCAGTCTTCCAGGTGCAGGTTAGTGTACGATATATGTTTATCAAAACGATATTCTGAAGTGTCTTCTCTGTGAACATTGAGTAGAGCTGTTCTTGTTGTACATTACTACACAGTACTGGACTAATAATACTTTTATTAACCTTTCTAAATATTTTCTCTTTATTAATAGACGTTGAACATCCAATGTGTATTACATTGTTGCAACATGTTGTTTATAAGTGTTTAAATTATTTTGACCGCAATCAACGAATATATGTCTGTATGAATGTTTAGATGTGTGATGTGCCTTTTTCCGCCAATACCTCAAAAACAATGGATTAATTGAGATGACAGTAATCATCAATAGTTTTGAATTTAGAAGCACCTTCTATCATTTATATTATGTGGAGCTATAGTTTTATGCTTTGTGCTAATGTCCACTGGAAAGAATATGTGATATCGTTAATGTTCGTTAATCTATATTTGTTACTGTCAATAATAATGAATGAGTTCATAAATGTTGTGATGTTATACACCATAATATTTTGGCTTGTAAATTTTAATAAAGTCGTCACATGAATCCTTGGTGGATTATTTTATTTTGATTCTGTGAGTTATGTAATAACTCCTGATTGACACTACACAGATATGTTTTGTTGGGGGGGGTTCAAATTCCGCAAACCTATTCGGAGAACCAATTGAATGACCGCCGTTTTTGCACAATGCAAGCGACGTCGGTTAGTACTTCCTTTGTGTTGGTAGTCAGTTCGTCATGTTCGGGTCAATTCTATGATTAAGTTACGTGTATATACTATTCCACACAAAAAACACCATCACAGTTAACAGGCAGACCTGACATCGCTTTTTAGGTAAAAGCATATTAGTCGATATCATAGTGAAAGATCGATATCTATAAATATTCGTAAAAAGACATGAACAAATCCCAAAGTTGTTGGATGTTAACATGTATTACGGTCTCAGGAGTAATACACTCTCTGACATCAGAGAAAAACAAGTGTATTGAATTAATTATACTTTTGTTATATGTCATCTATATTACCACGTTTCTATTATTGTATGGTTAAGATATTACACGGTCATATCAATGTACTGCCCCTGTTACATCTTTTATTATTACGGATTATTATGAATATCAATACTTTCTGAATAGGCAACTATTGGTGGTCGGATTCCCAGAAACTATAATGGTAAATATGAGTTAATCATTCCAAGATGAATCGTCTTTGTAGTTACATACATCAATAGATAAAATATGATACAAACAAACACGCAATACTATATGTTCTTATTTCAGGACCTGCGTTGATTGGTACTGGCGAAGATATGAAGTTGTACACCAAGGGTTATGCTGATAGAAAGTGGGATGGTCCTCTTCAAAATTCATGCTGTATGATGAGAATTGCAGTTATGCCTGACGGTAGTTTACTTGGAGTCGGTGAAGACAATCAATTATATACTAAGACGTCAATTTATTCTGGCAATTGGAAGGTCGTTGACGGCAGTTGTTGCATTCAGGATGTGACTGTAAATCAAGACGGTACAATCATCGCTGTATCTTCCGCCACAGGCACAAAACTGATGACTCGTCCCGATTTGAACAGTGAATGGACAACCAGCCGTAAATTCAACGATGTTGTCCGCATTGATGTACTGCCAGACGACACACTTTTAGGTATTACTAAAACTGGTGGACTCAAACGACGTGTTGGTGGAATTGATGGTACATGGCAATACCAGAAAACTTATGGTATGAAAGCAGACGACATTTCAATTCAACCCGACGGAATCGTACTAGGTATTGGAAAAGGCGGATGTGGTGTTCACGCCCTTGACTTAGAGACTGGTAAATGGGGAGAACAATTACCTGAATCTGAATGTGTAACAGCTATTGCGTCTCCTGGCAATTTGAGTGAGTACAGTGTTCATACATACTACATAATCATTATTTGAATTCTTGTTTTTTAAGTAAGATAAATTTTAGTACAAATGCTACTAAACAAAGCAACATATTATATATTATACTAACTGTTTTTTAATGAAAATATGATTAGTTATTATCTTCACTTTGTGACATATGATATAATTGAATGTACAAAAAATACTTGATGAAAAATAGAGGTGAATATGCAAATGACTGTAATTTAGTTAGGTAAGCTCGTGAACTAAATATGAACTCGCAGAATTTTAAAAACTAATAACTAATAATTGTTAGGTGAATGAGACTAATGTATATTACATTTTTGGTCATTAAATTTGACTTTTTTGTACTTTAAATGTGTACAATTTGATAAATGTTATGGAACATGTAATCACGAGTTTATATTTCTTATTTAACCATAATTAGCAAGTAGAATCTTTAAAAAAATGTTATATATGTATGTATATGTCTAGGTTGTCAATTGTTTCACTTCCTCTGAGACTGTCCCTCAAACTAATATTGAACCATATGTCAAAGAAGAGAACTTTCTGAAGACGATTATGTCTGTGGAAAGCGTAATTGAGTGATCAGTAGGAATTGTTACCTAGTTAAAAGTATCTTTTATTTGGTGGCGAATACGAATATTATTTATTTTAATTTTCATATTACGACGTAGCTATTTCTGTTTATTTTCAGACAAAATTGTTTTAATCTGTATTTGATAGTATCAATAGTTAATTACCTCCGCAAAAACTGTTTGCATATATTATTACTTTATTTATTAATTTTCAAGGCAAGGTTAAAATAGGTGAACTATGTATTAATCTTAAGTGTATGAAACAGAATAATTACTAGCTAAAGCAACATATATATTTCTATTTAAAGTATTCCCTGAGCCGACTGAAGAACCAAAAACAGAAGCACCAACCGAGGCCCCAACCGAGGCTCCAACAGATGCGCCAACAGAGGCACCAACCGAGGCTCCAACAGACGCACCAACAGATGCACCAACGGAGGCTCCAACAGAAGCACCACCACCACCTTCGAGTACGTAATCATTCAACAATTAAAACGTACTGACTGCATTTTAAAGCGCCTTACTATGAGCTACAAATTCCGCCTCATGGTATTGGTAGTGTAAACATATGAATGTGTTGCCCATTCGTCGTTCTCGCTTCACCCATTCAACGCGCTTGTACCGCCAGTTTTCATCTCGCCTTTAGGCCACCACAATGGAGGTCCATGCACTGTTACGTGTATGCATATTTTGGTTTCATTGGAATATTTTTCATTACCTCGCATATATCATTTGCCAAAATATGAAGACCGATATTTCTACATATGGTTTGATTTTTAATTTAATCTGGTCACACCTTTCTAGTTGAGATAGTGTAGGTCTCTGTGAATGGTCATTGTGATATTCCACATGTATCTCAAATTATAAAGATCTAACCAATTGTTACTATGTTGTACTTAAAAAAAGGAATAGCAAGTCAAAGCAGCACTGCTGATAATGGATCAGCTAATTATGCTATTGATGAAAATGATGATTCTATAAATCGTCATATCGTCATATCATCATCCAACTGATAATTGCGTGATAATGAATCAATTATTGAAAAACAACTTTAGTTTCACTAACAGCACAAACATGAAAAG